TATTGATAGGGTTCACCTTACAACGGTGCACTGGTGCTGTATCGCCAACGAGAAGGCCGAGCTTAACTTGGCCCTAGAAATAGATCGATAAATACGATCGGGTTCATTCATTGTCCTTGTGAGCCATTTATATGTTACCTTGCTACCTTTCCTTCTTTTCTTAACAGGTGCTGAGGCTGTGAGGAAACGACTCGGAAACGCAGCAAAGCAACGCATAATCAAGTGGCGCACAACTAACGAGACCTACCAGGGTGATCGAGCCGGCCTACTGGAGAACAGACTGTGGCGTAGGCTTGGCGCACCGAGTTATTTGCGCGACTACACCGTCCCCTGCGTAAGTTGGACACCAACTGATCTTTGCTACTTCCTTATTTGGTTACGGTTTCTGAAAGAAATACTGTCGCTTGGTGGTTGGGTGGGAGCCGGACAAGGACTAAGTTTCCGAGTCCCGTATTTTAAACAGCTCCATGATTTATGAAAGTGGATTCTCGTGGACTCTAGATGATTGCTTAGGAAATTCTGCCTTGGCAGTCAGCATACTCTATCCGTAATGGTGGACTCTAGTAGGCTAGGCGGGTAAATCAAACCAAATGTGATTAAATTCAAAGTTTCAGAGTGCCTTCGTAGCTCAATGATAGAGCATTGGCTCTTCAAAAGCCTTCTCTGCTGTGTGGGTTCGAATCCCGTCGAGACCGCGAAATTTTCACAATTGAGTCAACTAAGTTATTCAAATCTGCCAAACCCCCCTACTAATTTTGAAAGTATGATAAACTGTCTGACAAGGTATCTCCCCACGTTTCTCCAATATGATTTACAGGAATACAACAGAACGTCCACAGTACTTGCGCTGTCTGAACCATGCAGACGAAAATTTCCAAATGCTCGATTGCGGCTGCTTACTGCTCTCGTTTGTGGGAATTGAATCGGGAACAGAACAGCGGTCCAGGCCATTAATGATGCGGAAGTTCGGATTAGTTGCGCTAGTAAAACTTATAGGACTCGTAGACTACTTTAATTAGATGACTTCTAAGAGAAAATAAACGGTCTGCATCTGTAAAGAGCGTGGTAGCTTTTTGTTGGCCAGTTGCCCTCGGTAGTGATGAGTCTAACGAATCCCAGCCCCCAAAGTCTGTGCGTGTGCACTTTGATGTACGCTTTCTAGTGTTGTATATCCGCTACGCAGTGAAAACCTGCGCGGATGGCAACTCGGAAGAATACACGAACAATTTACCGCATTCTGGAATTACTCGAGGTCTGGTACCATCAGCCACCAGTAAAAACGGCCATGG